CAGAAGCCCAGGACCCTTATCCAAGGAATGAACCTCTTTCATCACTACCTCGTCACAAGTTACTCTGCATGGATGGCCAAATGCAAAGAATTGTGTAGGGTCGAATGCTTGATCACGGATATAAACCTGGGAAAAAGGCCGAGGTTAAATATCATCCAAAGCTAGAAGTAATCAAATTACTACATCTCAGTCGACTTCTATCTAAGAGATTTGTTTTTAAACATATGTAACTGAACATATGGAGGCAAGGGTTCTGATGGCGCTTTATACTCGACCAGTACTTGCATTTTGTGCAGAAATAACAGGTCAAAACAGCTTTAAAATGTACCGGCCACCAAAACGTTTATAAAAAAAATCTGAGAACCTGCAAATTTCTCCTGATTGCAAGCCTAAATAGGTTGGAATTGTTAACAACATTTGAGCGTCTCCGAGTCAACTCTCCTTCATCAAGCCTATCATGGTGTAGAAAAAGGTGTCGGCTAACAGCAAACTTGAGGAATGCATCACCAAGCACCTCAAGCCTTTCAAGAGAAAAGCGCTCCTGACATTTCTCTGTTGTGAGCGCCTCAAGTATCTATACCAATTCACTCGATCAGTAAAGGATGAAACATTAACAGATTTTATGAAAATCAAACAAATGGGTTATCAAGTAAAATGAGATTACTCTGTGACCAGAAACTTCAGCTATCTCAGGGATAGAAGCAGACAGCATGTGTTTCAGTTCGATAGCCACGAGTAAATTCTCCATCCGGTGCATGATTGATGGTAGCAAGGATAACGAACTTCCAATATCTTTAGATAATCCTTTTATTTTTAACTGAGAAAGCTCAGGAGGAATCTCTATGAAATATTCCTCAAGTTCATGCGGTTCTGTTTGTTGGCAATGTGAGAATGGTAAACAATTAGAGTATACAACGGTGTGCGTATGTACATGTACATGCACAAGAAAATTGTAATATGCAAAAATCAGTTAAGAAAGTATACCCAAATTCTCCCGCTTGCGGTTGTGAAGCAAGTTCCGAACATAACAAAGTGGTTTCAAACGCAAGAGTGGCTGTACAGGATGCTTGAGTTCCACGCCATACCTGGTATTGCGAACATAAATGAGAAAGTTCTTAAAGTCAGAAAAAAAAATGTGATCCTATCTCGAGTCCCAACCAATTTTATAAAGACTGGTATACTGCTCCGTAAAAAATGGGAAAAGAACCATTATAACAAAAACAATCTAGAGAGAGAGACAAGAAAGAAAAAGCGGAACACATGACCTCCCTGAGAAAGTTGCAATCGAACAATCACTAAATAGTAGTAGTTTAATAGCTTACGAATTAGATATGCTCTCCAAATGGCTTTCGGTGCTTGATTCTTTAACAGGACTGAAACCATTTCTTCCATGACAAATATCAGTGACAAAGTAGAATTGTTTTTTGTGGGTCGCATAAACCACGCTGTTCACCACATCATCAGCTTTCCAGCAGCCATTTGCAAGCTTTAAAAGAGGTCCCACAGGAGGAACTATATCTTCCAGTAAACCAGATGGAGCCTTAAAGATTGGTGATGACAAGCAGCTTCTGATAGTCACCCAATCTACAGATATAACACTTTCTGCATCATGCAGAGTAATTGGAAGGAGAAGGTAAAACGTAGATTTTCTTGTTCTAAAAGAGTCTTGCAGCCCTAAGGAAACAAATTCAGGAATGAGCTCCCGCCGTTCAAAAAGAATTTTCAGGGCAACCTCCTGGAAAAGCTCCGCTAGCCTTATCTGCATAAACATATCAAATTAGATAAGTTCATCTAGTTCATTTTTTATCTAACTAAAAGCTCAATACCTCATCGTCGTCGAATTCCGCGTCTCCCGCTGGAAAAATCTTCACACTTACAGATCTTTGATGAGCAAGGTGAAGATTGAAATCCATAGTCTCAGCCTCAATGGGAAGAGGTGACTTCATGAAGAGACCAAACTTTTTGTAGGTCCTATCCGCGGGATGAGGCAGAAACCTTATGTAGTAAGAGTGAAGATTGACACAACTCTTTGATGGATCCCACTTTTGTTTAAACAAGTCAGGAACAAGCATCTCATACAGTTCACCTCGTGAACAGCCTTCACCTAGCAAGAAATAAAGAAAAAACGTCGTTACATAACGAGTGAACAACATAAACAACCTAGATATACAACTGAACCACTTATGCACCTTCAACTTTATCAAAATCAAATTCCTCATCTGACAATTC